AGAGTTTGGGACTTTTTTCCGAATGATGAATCGCCTGCGCGCTAACGTGTACACCGCGTCATCATTGAGTTGGCCTGGTGCGGTTTTTGTTTGATTTGTAAACAGCCGTGAAACTCGTGCCGAAGGGAACTTCCCAATAAAATCCGCATAAACCTCTCTTGGTCGAGTTTCGGAGTAAACAGGGGGAAAGAAGGAATCTGATGGATTTTCCGTTTTGTAACTTTGTAACATTTTTTTCCATTTCTTTTCGTTGTTTATTTCTTTAAGATAAATCATAAATCGTGTTTCACGATAATTAATAGGATTTTGTAGTTTACATTTTAATTTATGTCAAATAATTCAAAATTAATAATTAGATTTTCATAATTGGTTGTATAAATGTATGGTCAGTAGCTGTTGCTCGTAACTGGTATCTCGTGACGTTGTAATTTCAAAACCGATGGATATTACACGTGTACACAAATTTACTATCATTCCAGAAATTAACGAAATTATCATTTGCACCAAAACGCAAACAAAGTTAAAGCGAGATTTGGATAATATTTCGTCGCCCCACCCAACATTAACGCGAAGACGTGCTCATTTTTTACGCTCATCTTTCCGCTCTTCGTCTCCTACCCATTTAAATGTCGCAACGATTTCCCTGGGAAGCGTGTTCGTATTAAAGCGGTTGAAAACTGCTTTAATACGTCGCAGTAACACGGTGGTTTGTAGTATTCGCACCCAGTACAAACAAGGGGTAGATGCAGGCGCCATCGTCCAGATTTAATTTTCAAAAGTAAACTGCAAAACGTAATTAAAAAAGGCATGGCAGGATACACAGACCGAATTAAATTTACCTTTCGGTCCAGCAGGACCATTTCTGTTTCGCCCGGTTTATAAGGTTAAGCTTATTTATGTAGTTTGTATTGAATTGAATGGAAACTTTTGTAAACACATTTAAAGAGAAGTATCTTAAACATAAAAACGACAATTTCTTATCTAAACGTAAAACTTTCGGTAACGATTCGGCAATAATACAGATCGTTTCTAAACATATAGAAACGTCGTAAAAGCCCACACCGCAAACATTTACCCTGAGTCATTTGACTCTTTGCCTTTGGTAAAAGCGATCTCAAGTCACCGATCAGAACCGCTGACGTTGTTCACATAACGGTGGAACATATTCCTCCTTGGAGATGCATAAAAATTTTAGTATTCATGCGATGGTGGCGACCAGAAGTACAACACATCATCTCGAACGGTTGGTTGCGGCTACGTCAGCGCTGCCCTCCCGAACTCGGAATATTTCGCCTTTGGTGTTGTGGGAAAAACAAAACTACTTGAATATTTATGACGATAACATTTTCGCATCTTTCCACCACCAGGGAAACACACATTTCGAAACGTAATGTTAAGCAAATCTTTCGCAGTTAAATACGCTTTTAATGCATAAACTATGCAAGAAAATATTTGCACATAGAGATATCTCCCTCATGCGATGTTAAAGTAAGTCTGCGAATTTCTGTAAGCTTTTCAAAATCGTGGATTTCCGCTGTATTCCCGTTTTTCGCCCGAACTCCAATTGCTCGTGTTTTATTTATAGAGGACATCAATTGCAAGTATCGGAGAGAAGAATGAAAAAAAGCGAGATAGGCCGTTCCCTCGAGACCACGCACGTTTGTGGATGCAGAACGGGATTCGAATTTCGGATTGCCTCGATAGGGTAGGGAAAGGGACATTAATTTTCTTAATGGGCTCGACCTTTTAGGACTGTAAATCAGGGGGGTTTGATGTAAGGAACTATCTGCACGAAGTGGGAATGTTGAGGCTATCTAAGTAGCCCCGGGTTATTCTCAACAGAAAGATAATTGAAATATATCTTAAACGACATCCGGTTTTGTTAAAATATGGAAACTGTAACAACCGTATGGTTTTATTATGACTTTTACATGAATTTATTATTAAAAAAAATTATTATAAAACGATTGATTTGAATCGATTAATTTAATGGTAATCTGAGCACGTACAATTCAAGGTACGAGGATTTCTAGAACTATAGGGTGAATTCGGATTATTCCCTCATTTCAATGGACCAACACGTGTAGGAAACTGCTTCGATAAACTTTCTAAGCCATTTTCAAGACAATTCGACCTATTCAAGTTATTGATTCTTTGTTCTTTAACCACGAATTTGATTGTATCAAAATAAAAGTGCCTAAGACATTTATTCGTTTAGAACTTCTGCAAGATCATGGTTTAATAGTTAATCCATATATGTAACAAGAAAAAATAAAATAAAATTATTCATAACATTAACCCATAAAATCAATCAGATAAATATATAGATATACCGCTCAAAATGGTCGAAATAAATTCTGAACACTGTTTTGGCATTTAGTAATAGATTTCCCATGAGATACAATTTTATTTTCAAAAATGTTCCACGGAGATTTATTTTTATTAATGTGTTTTGACATTACGCTGCTTCATAAATACAAATTTTGCTCATTAGAAATTTGAAATTGATTGCTTTGGGACTTTGCAGAACAACCTAACTTCAGCGTAATGAATGTACAAGATGTTTAATAACAGAAACTAAAGCATAAAATCGTTAAGATATCATTTTCCAGAAAATGCTTAAGCAACAAACACTGTTTATAATTTAGTGAATTCTTCTGTCACCAGAAAATTTAATTAATACTTGTTTTTATGGCATTATCATGACAATGCATTTTTTGTTGCTCTATTAGAAGGTATAGATCTCAACAACATTCTAGCAAGCTTAGGAAGGTAAGGGAAGGATAAGGGATTGGGTAAAGCAGTGCATAGTGCTGATGAGAGGGCTCTTGAACCACAACCTAGTTGTAAGTATGGACCGGTCTCAATGTCATGCAAGAAGAAAGAGTGGTGCTAGACAGAAAAGTTATTGAAATTGCTGTGTTTGCCGCCGGTGATGCAGTGCGAGTAGGTGTTTAGGCCTCCTACGCTGTAATATACGAAGCTATGATAGAACCCATGATGAGGGTTCTAAACAGCTATTTAATTGTTGACAGTTGAAAACAGTTAATTGTGGTGAATCGAGTTCAGGCGTTTCACTAGACTTAAAGTTAATAAACGTCAAGCTCCTTATTAGTTTCTTGATTGTTAACAGTACTATGTTTCGGTAAGAAAACTAGAATCTCTCCAGGTAGCATTGAATTCATCATACTAATAAAGGTCAATGACAAAAATTGGTTTTTAAAGAAACACATCCATTAAAATGTAATGATAAATTTAAGACGATTTTCGTCTAATTTCATAAATTGATATGGTATAAATAATAAAAATCAAAGTAAATACATATAGATTTATGATATATAATTGATGATTAAAAATCTTTTAAGTAATTAAACTTTTATAAAATCCAAACGAATCTTATTTCTTCTTTATTTTTTCAATACATCACTTAATTAATTAAAATTTTTAAACAGAAAGCTCCATCCCGGGCAGATCAAAGACTTTAAAAATAATCTCTGCGTATAAATTCAAAGAGGGAGAAAACGACAAAAGTAATCCTAAGAAATTTAAATAACATTATATAAATTGAATTGTTTTCCGCAACATTTTCCTAATTTGTATTATTATCGAAATTAAAAAGGTGATAATGACACTTAATTAAGACCTATTTACAATTGTGCTTTTATCGACGTAGTTAATCAGAGCAGGTAACTATGTACAGTAATCTCCGTACACATTTACCGACATACACGGTCCACGTCCGAGGCGATTCTGCGAAATTAAGCGAACGATATGAATCAATAAACCCTCGCCGGTGTTGCAACCAACGTGTTCTAACTAAACGCAAAGTGCGTTAAATTGAGTGTTGGTAGATGACTTATTAATGATGTAAATCCTAATTGAATGTTTGATTTAACCTTCCTCTCCATTAGTTGTAATTGTTATCACCTCAAATATGTTACATATTAAATTACCTTTATATAAAATTAAAGTCTCAAGTGTCCTCTTCAAGACCACATCATGATTCATTAGCTAAGCATTATAAAGTTTAGCAGTAAAGAACGTTTTGAGCATCACCTAAGAATTGGTTATTTTTGATAACAAAACTAAAAATGTAAAATTTAAAAGAATCCTAACTTCTTTCTTTATTAGCTTTAACACGTTCGGTTTAACACATGGTTAACGGCGTCGCTCGGCAGCGAACGTGTTAAGTCCATATCATGGTTTTTGGATTCATCAATAATGTTAAATAGGTGACATCTTTCAAAATGCAAAGTTTAAAAAAATCACATCTTTTTTATTTATAGCAATCTAGAAACGACCTTTATGGTAAATTGAAGGTTAAAGTATCTCCTTTAAGTTCATACCACGGTTTATTGGTTCACCCATAAAATTCATGAGGAAAGAATTTTTTTAATAAAACCTGAAAATGATAATAAAATTGTTAATCTTTTAAATATCATATCTACTTTATTTATATTAATTAACAAAATATCTCTACGTCAAATTATACTTAGATTATCTTCTTTAAGACCACATGATGATTCATTAGTTAATCATAAAGTTCTAAAAATGTTAAATCCATTAGTTATAATTATTATCATCTTAACGTGTAGTTTTTGGTTATTCTGTAACTATATCTTGGAGTATATAAAAGAAAATCCCTAGGTATGAAGTAAGATTAGTTGTGGATACTCTATGTAATGGCCGTTAAATAAATAATGGTTTTCTAACGGCACCTTAGGGTCTGCGTGGAATATAAATATGACCCCGAAAGGTTAAGTGATCTCTCTAGTTCATACCGTAAAAGAACAGTAAAGCGAATAAGTCTTCCAGGTATTTTATAAAGTATACATAGTGTTTATTTCGTGCTTTCAGCAAATTAATGAATTAATTAGCATGAAAAATACGCTCATTTATTTCCAGTGGAAATGTATATTTAGTGATACAAATGCCACCCCATTTCTCAACGTTGCGTGGAGTTGTGTGAATATTTTGTTTTTAGTTCTATTACAAATTACCTTGTGCCGGGGCGTAAATGTTAAGGTAGAGGCAATCCTCGCTCTGATTCTTGAGATAAGGCATCAGTCTCTTGAGATACTCCAATCGGCCCCTGGGCATTCTTTTCAGCGCCGCCGTTTCATTATAAATATCTGGCAATCTTTGCGGACAAACGGGACTAAATTTGTCCGCTATTTTAACACCTGACCACAAGGCTCCGGTGACAGGTGGCATGAACCTTAAAGATCCGACGGGAGGGCTAGCATAAGGAATTCCTCGGAATACTTCAACGGGTTCTAAATGTTTAGAATCCAATGTCACTATTACTCCACTCACGTCACCATATTTAGTTCGCACTACACGGGAATTTAAGGACACTCTCTCTTCGGGTGTTTCTGCATATACAACTACTACCGAAAAAAGTAACACGCACGTTTTAATTAGGAATAGTCGGTGACGGATCCAAGCCATTTTAAGTCGTTTTTACGACATCTTTTCAAACCTTTCTTGAAGAGTTTGTCCACCTAATATACTATTCAGCTATGAAAAGTCGCCAACGCGACTTGTTTACAATTCCATCGAAAAATCGTTATTTATTGAGTGGCAGTGAAAGTCGACCGAATAGCACCGTTTTTTATCACGATAACGCAACACAAACACCCGCGACGGAAACGATCGCGAAACGTGGTGATTTTGAAGCGAGCGTCATAAGTTGACGTCACGGGTCGCTTCCTGCAGCCTGACTGGAGTTTCTCTCTCAACAGGAAAGGGATCCTGCGCACGAGCGACCTCCATTGCGCACACATCGAACCAAAAGGACGTCTACCTACAGGGTCCCTTCGATTCGACAATTTACAACCGACTTGTCGACCAAGTGCAATTTTGCCTTGGTGAATAGAGGAGAGAGCAGAATCTCTAAGACACTAAAGGATAAGTTGAGACGTTAGAAAGGGGGCGCTAATTGCTAACTGAATGGGTGAATGACTCCCTCTAAAATTACTAACGGCTAATTCGAGATGAATTTACGAAAGTTATTCTTCGAATTAAACTCTAAAGTACATCTTACCGGCGCATCCGCCATAATTTCTTTAAATTAAATAATTTATTTTATGCCTTTTGGGATTATAAAAAGAAACCGAGAGGACTTTTATTATCAGATTTATTTGCAAAAGCATGACTTGAATACGAAAACTTAAAGATATGAGAAAGTTTGTAGAACAGTATTCGAGTTCTACATTCTTCCACCTTGAAAACTTTCCAATAACTTCTATAAAAGTCATATTCCTAGTGGACAATCATCGTTTTAGCAACAAAACTTTCGTGATGAAGTAAATAAAAGTCGAGATTTAACACATTGATTTTAATACTCAGATATGTAATTATCTACCTGTATATTTGGAATATATATTCCCTCAGGCGACTGCCATTTAGGTTTAGTCTGGGTGAACCACCAAGGGAATTTCTAACTAAGTTTATCTACATATAATCACCTCATCGATGCGCTTTCCATCATATTATATAATTCGATAATTCATAAAATACTTTCAACGACCTTTCACGATCTTTAGATCCTTTGGCGTTGACGGGGATGGTTTAAGATGTTCCCAACGGGTCTGGAAAGCCTCAAGGGTTAAAACTCAGGTCAATAACTTCTGTATAACTTCACTGTTGGAAAGGTCCTATATAAACATCTCTCGGAATTGGCAACCGTGCAAACGCTAGCCTCGAATAAACACAATTTGTCAGATTTCAAGAATTACCGAGCAACTCGTACAAATTAAATCAAAATCGACCAGATGTTTCTCGCTGCTGTAAGCATTGTCGTGTTAAATCTATTTTAAAATTAATTAAAAATTTAAATGGAACTAAAACGGTGTAGCATGTAAAAAAAATATTTGTTTTGAATGCTTTAAAATCTCCACGATAATTGAGTTGTGAACTATGGTCTGAAATATTTCAATACCAGCTTTTGTTGCTTTCCAACTTTTGTGATGGTTGTGAGGTAACACTGGATATTGCAATTTTCTCTTTCCGTTTGTACGTTCTTCAAAATGGTACTTGTACTTAGTGAAGTAGAATTATTATTAAAAGTTTGACGAAATGGAACAACGAGAACTAAATGATTTTTTATTACAAAATTAAAACACGAAATTTTCAAAAAATCATATCGATTGTATTTTTAAGAATCCAGATAAGATATGTATGTTAAATTGAGGCTTAAAGATTCTAGTTTATATGCTATAAAATATGTTATGTATGTATTATATATTATGTATATGTATTGTTATATAAAATATGTTGATAAATAAAGTAGTTGAATTGATATTATATTCACTAGAGATAGAAATTGCTGATGGATATGTTTCCCGAATTTTACGAATTATGTACTGGATGGTATGTTGTCAGGATTAGGGGGAGGTATCCCATTATTTAGCCGCCGAGTATTGTTATGCGGCCTTTTTCGTCATTCCTCAACAGTGTAGTTCGCGTTTTTGCAATATCGACAAATAATTACCGTTTAATTTATCTGTAGAAATAAATACTAAATAATTTCCCCCAAATTTATTCATTTCGGTTTTTGTAATTATTTTGAGACGGGTTTATATTTATAAGTGTGTGTAGAGGTGGTAGAATTTGAAGGTAAATAATAAGTTAAGAACAACTAGGTGGATTTCCGAAGGGAATAAACATCCATGTGAATTATGTCACCTTTTCGTTGTTTACGATTGCAAGTCTTTTAGTTTACAACAGAGTCCGGCAGTATTGTCGGTTGAATTCGACAATTTGTCCTGCAAGGAAAGGATTTCGCTGGGATGCTGTTCAAATATTAAGAGAGAGAAATCCATGGATGCCATGTTCGATTGTTACGTGTGATTCACACGAGGTCGATTAACCAGTAAAATAAGATCTTTGTAGTATTTTATGGTGTTTTTTTTTAGTAATTCTATAGCACACTTTGAAAGGAAAAAAAAAAGATTTAATATTTCCGTTTGGACATTTTTGTGGAAGTGTATCACGTGTTTGTTGGTTGGTATTGAATCTCCGGTTCGATTTCGGCCCGATCCGTTTTCGAACTCGTCCCGATATTAAGCCTTTGTTTATTCCTTCGCGTTTAGCGATTCGAATTTGTGATTCATGGCACGCGCTACCCATACCCCCATCTCTTTTTCGCTGCCCACAAAAGGGCCAATTTATAGCCATCGGATACGTATTAGTGCCGTTTTGTCATGTCCGGGGTGTGTACGAACTCGCACGGCTCTGTGCTCGCACACACAGCTTCGAGCCGGTCGATGTTTTGACACTATGTAAGGGATAGACTCGAAAATCGACCGCGAAATACCCATGTGCACTTTTTTTAACATCATTTATCCTTGCCACTTTCTTCTTTTGCGACTTTGAACGGATCGGGGTTCTTGGTTTGAGGGGTTCTTATGAACAATAGAAAGTTCTCGCTTTTGTCGGTAGGAGATTAAGACAATAGATCATCAAAAATTAATTTATAGGGACACAACAGGCGAATTTGGGGCGCGGCGCCGTTTTCGGTTTCATTTAGAACGTGATGAATTGGTTGTATTTATGATTTTAACGGGCAATGACCTTATTACTTCACAAATTTTCATTTTATTTCGTTAAATAAGAACTATAGGATCTATATAATAATGTTCACACAGATTGGTGTGTTGATGGATGTGATAAATCGATATCCACGAATAGGAGGCGCATCGACATCGACATCAACATCGACGGAGAAGAGCTTTAACATTATTAGACGAAGGGGATAAACAATATTGAGTTACCGCTTCGGGTCGAAGTCTACCGTCGTACGAAAAACGACGGCCTAAACTCGTTTTGTCCACACGAAACGAAATATACCGTGTTGATGTTTGTTTGGCTGTAATGGTGTTAGCATTCCCAATAATACTATCAGACTGTGCGGTACCTACGCGTTCGGAACTTTGTGTAGGGGAAGCTTCAGAACTCTAATGGTGTTTACCGGGGTGTTGGCGTATATGTGATGGTCTTTAGAAAATGTTGAACGAGGTATAATATACAGGGGTCAATATAGTTGCGAATAAGACGATCATAACGAAGTTGGAATTCCGACGTTTTTTATAAAATCATACATAAGCGAGTTTTTAAGATATCGGTACTAAATTTTCAAGGTTTGTAAAAAAATATAAGCACCGCTTTCAAAAAAAAAACTAATGGAAATTTTTTCGGTTTGTAAAATCAAAAACTTTTAACGATCTTTAAAAAATCATTCTGAACTTATTTTTAGAAGTAATGCATTGATTTGGGCGCTTATTTTAGCTTAATAAAATCAACAAAATTAAAAAAAAAAGCCTTCGTACTTATATTAAAAGTATCTCTAGAAATTAAGAATTGTTTTATATTATTAATTAAAACTAATAATGTTCCTTTATGTAGCTTATTAAGGTTTATATTAAGCTGAATACAATTTTATTGAATTAATTTTCAGAAATTTCCATAGAAAAGTTGTTTCTAAAATTATGGAATGTTTAAATGGATATACTCTCCATGAGTAATTGTGCCTGCTACAATTGTTTGTAAAGTACACATTTGCTTTAATAATCTCAACATTGTTTACTATATAAATTATAGAAACTGCCCCGCGATTCTGTCAGTCCGAATGAAATACATTGTACGAAAGTTTACTAGAGTTAAACACACAGTATATTTCATGTGAGTTACATATATATAAACACCATTCATGCCTACATCTAACCGTAGCGTAAAACAAGTTTAAACGGTTTCTTTCTACATTAGAAAATATACATTTCCAATGTAGGTATATTCAATCCTATGTTAAATATTTATGTTGACATTAGTAGTGTAAATAATGAATTAATCTTAGTGTCAAAATCATAGATTTGGCGGTGTTCGTTAAATAAACTCCTTGCGGCGAATACATTCGAGGAAGATGTTTTGTTAAAGTTTCAGACTGTTTGCACAACCGTTAACTGTGCATGTGTGAGTGCTCCCCAAGTGCTTTTATAGTTCTGTCGGATTGTCCATATTTACCTAAAGCATCGTGTTGTTACTTCATTGAGCTACATTATTATTGCTTTAATTATAATCTAGAGAATTAAGAAATAATAAGTCTAATTATTTAAACTTCCATCTAATTTTAGTGTTATTTTCGTGCCAACACAAATAATAATAGTTTTATTACTCTTCGGCCATTCTATAAATAAGATCCGTTGAAGCAGCACATCTGTTCAAATCAAGCTGCCACCTCGATGCAACAGAATGCAGCGTTTGCATATAGCTCACATTGGTCATGGATGACTCAGCAGCAACGTCTGAAATATCCACCTTTTTTCACCCGCGCCCTCTATTCAGGTAGTTCGGACTTATTTTCACAAAGCAAACGCAGCGCACAGCAAAATATCGTGGACCGTGAACGGCAACTTGGGGCCGGGGCCGAACTAAAAATATCTCGACATTTTAACTAGTATAAAACGGGGTAGAACGAAAAACTTACAGTCGGTATTTATCCGGATAAAACGAGTCGTTAAAAAGTTTAGAATTGTTCAGTGCCGAGGCGGGCGCTGAAATGCCGAAGCAGCTGAAACAATGCATACGAATGGGTGTGTTTTAGACACAAGTATTCCGACGAGACTGTATTTGTAACCTTGAGATACCATTTAAAAAATTCCAGTAACGAAAAATTGGTTCATTTAATTGCATAAAAAATATTGTTTGATTTGTCTTTTTTCTTGTAAGCAGATCAAAGAAGCTCATTCGTTATGTTTAATTAATTTCTTAGAGCTCTGACCAATTCGGATAGAAGCGTGACTCGGAGAGAGTCGTAGTTTATTTTTAAAATCATCAAATATTTACAGTTCGACGATACCGCCGTGTTTTTTGAAGCTAATTATAGCCGATAAATGCCAGCAGTCGTAGCATAAAAGGATGTTTCGGATGTTTGTCCCGTTTTAATGGTTTTTTACTTCAAATATTGACGCGTTAAAGAGTGAAGTCTCGATCATCATAAGTTAATCATGAAAAGTTCAAAGTCGATATTCGCAACTCATTTATCTTTCAAAAAGGTTTTTTATGAATTAACAAAAACTATCATTGAATGAAATATTAAGATGTGTAGAGAAATTTAACGGTGACATGTCACCTAACGCAGACGTATAATTTTACTCCGGAGACAAAATTACCTTCATGTTCTCCAGGTCGTGCTCGGCATATCTCGCTTTTCATACCCGGCTATAATACATATCCTCATTTCATCCTTCCATTGTAAACAAACAAACGGTTTCGTTCACGTTTCTAAATATATTTTTTCTCTGTGAGAAATGAAAAATTAAGCTGTACAAAAAGTTTTATTTTCGACAGCGGGCGTTTCCCCTTCATTTTCTCAATACGTAATTCTTGTGTTAAAATCGCCACCAAACCCGCACGCTGTACTCTGTCCGAGGCAGAATGAGGGGACCGTATTTACGACATTCAGACCATTGAACACTCACTGGATGGAGCCCTCTACTGAATCATACTCGAAGAGACCCCTCTCCAGATTCAACCAGATTTATGCCCTTAATTTTTGTATTTAATATTCAGTTACAGGGTGGGGTGTCGCCATAACGACACCAAAGATTTTCAAAGCGGAAACATATCGCCTGTAAGCTGTGAATTATTTTTTATTTATTACGACTGAAGAATCCATATATATATATATACAAAAACATAATTAGATTTTGTTATAAGGCCAATCACTATTAAGTAGCTTTTAACACTTCAAGTCATCTGTCAAAGTATAAGACCAATTACTGAGTACGTCAGAATAATTACTTAGGGAAATGGGATCTTAACCCGTCGCATTAGCAAGTTGCTGATAGAAGAAAGTTTACTGCGTCTGCAAGATCATGATGGGTACCGAATAAAGTAAAAGTTGTCCTTTAAACGATAAAATGAAACTATTTGGATGAAAATATGCATAGGATATTTCATGTTTCAATAATACTAAATTAAAATTTATAGAACATATGTATTACATTTTCGTTATACATATATTATAATAGAGAATATAGTTAATAGTGTAGTAAAATCGTGTTAACGTTGTAGGTTACTTAGCGTAAGCTGTTTACAATAAGTGCACCATGCACTTAAAAATACTTTCCCTATCACATGTTACAAGATAGTTGTGTACCCATTACCTAACTTGCCAGAATGTAAAGAGGCCACTTCGTCAGCAGATATAGTAAATGGTAACTACCACGTCTACATTTAGCCGAACAAGAACGTCGTCGTATACATACCATGGCGAATGAGGAATGCTTACCTTCCAGATGTGCTCGTCCGTACTCTTTGTGCAGTCTATATATACACACAAATTGTACACTCGAGGATGGTACGTGCTGCAAATGTGCTTACCTCCAAAATGAAGTCCCCTCACTGTATACATTCCCTACTGCTTCTGAATTTACTATAAGGGCATGCAGCTAGTAAACTAAAGCGTTTATATGCAAGCTAATTTTAACTCTAGTTAAGACGTACGTTTGTTCGTGCCGCTATGTAAATCGGTCTTTAAATAGCGGTGAACGTCACGGCGGTTCTAGATTCGGTTGGATCTCTGCTGAAATCTGAAATTCGTGCGTTTTAAATTTAGTTTAACGGGATCCGTGAACGTACTTACAACGATCGCATACTGCGTGAGGATGTTTACATACAGTTTTTGTGCGCGAGTTAATACTTTTTAAGTTAACCACAGTCCAAAAAAGCGAAAGTTTTTCGCCAGTGTCAGATTTATTTTCATCTTTAGCCTTGTTTCTATTAACGTACTATTGTTGTTTATACTTCGAAGTAAGTGAATCATACGATTATTTTATTATATACACCAAAAATTTTATTAACGTTGTTAAATATGATTTGAATAAAAATGAAATTTAAGAACTATGATGTTTCTGTGGTTGGGTTTTTAGAAAATAAATAATCTTTAATAACTAGTAAAACAGAAATATCTTGTTTCAAGACAAAAAAATCATCTATTTTTATTATGTTCGTTTGTGAGTTCGTTGGAAACAATCCAGGAATGCCAACTAATACCGAGCAGAAAAGAGGAACTACTACAGTGTTTCAAAGAATTGGGTGAAGCGATTTTATTTTCATCGGGTTTGATCTATTTCGGTTGAAAATAACATTACATTCTATAATCGGAGGGGAAATTACAAAATCACGCCGTTCAGAATTGGTGTAGTGTACAAGGGGGGAATTTTAATTTGGATCGAAAAAAGCAATTACGTTAGCCGTGTGTATTTATTGGCAAATAGAAAAATATTCCTCTCAAATATTACGCGCCGGAATCTGATTCTGGTTGTTTCATTTTCCATTCCGTTGTATACCGATTTTGAAACTCCACTTCCGTGCTTAAAAATTACCTTCCGCAAATCGATTACTAACAAACTTCATGCAACAAATCATTGCTTTCAATTACGAACGACGAACATAAATAAATGACCAAATTAATACAGGGTGCGTTAGCGATTATTTGAATATTATAAATTCTATAATCTGAACAGGGATTGACGCTCGCATAATTGTACGTAAACATCATTGTGACCTTTCCAATAAATATACCTGACGCGTTCGAGTTTACAAACTCAATTTTGCTACCAATTTTATTCATTTTATAAATAGATATAAAATATAATTCAATACTACTTTTTTTCAGAAATGGAAATACATGATATTCGATAATAATTTTCAATAACTTCCATCGAAAAGCATCGAGTCAGCATGCTTCCTCGATAAACGTTGTTATCATTGGTACATGGTGTGTGTACAAAGGGGAACCGGTTGTTAATATTTCGTGTGAGAATACAGGTGGCGGTAAATGGCTTACGCGGCGATATCGTACGTGGCTACGGCCCTGTTTTGTGTGGTTACCGTGGTTGCAACGCAAGATTCCTACGGATACGATTACAACCCTCACCCCAGCGAGTACACGCGCCCGGTGACGTTAAAACAGGGTTCCTTACTAGGTATTATCGTACAGAAACGGGTCGAAGACAGGGTAATCGTTGTAGAACAGTACTTGGGGATTCCGTATGCGAAACCACCCGTGGGGGATTTGAGGTTTATGCCTCCCGTCAACGCCCTTCCTTGGACGGGAATCAAGTACGCTGACGTCCTTAAGGACGTGTGTCCGCAAATTCGACCCAATTTCGATAAAATGGAACATGGCAGAAAAATGCAAGTTAAACGATTACATGAATATTTGAAGAACGAATCGGAGGATTGCCTTTATTTGAACATTTATGCACCTTATCAAGGTAAGATTAATTGATACTAACACTAGCATTATCATTAGAAGTAAGACCTAGAGTAGACCTAGAACTAGAATTTTTCGAGTTAAGAAGTGCGTCTTCTGAAAAAGTGTTTGATTGAATGGTTCTAGTTCTAGGTCTACTGTTAGTTCTAGTTGTAGTTCAATTAACACTTGTCGTGAAAGCCTTCGTACTGATAAGGTAAGATTAACGTTAATTATAACACCGGTCGTTAATTATAATCCTATATGAGCTTGAAATTACACAATATTTATTAATGAGATTAGAGACATGATGATTTACGTTATTGCAAATTAAAATACCCGGCCGCAATGTAATTTCAAAGTTAAAATAACAGTTTTCTTTAATTTCAACTGATCCTTCGTGTTTTGGGTATTTAATCGCAAAATCGCGGTTTTAAGCACCTTTAATTAGTGGTAATCGCGCCGTCTACCTTCCGTTAAAACCTTTCAGCAAACAAAACGAGCGACTTTCGGAGAGGAAAGTTTGTTCTGAAACACCGAGGGTGGCTTCCTATTTCATCCTAATGTTTCCCCCTACATTAAGCGGAGAATTCAACGGCCAGTGCATAATGCGATTTATTGCCCTAGGACCAATAACCTGCTGGTGCGAGAGCCAATATTTCGCTATGTTTTCGCCAGCAAAACTCTATAAATAGATTCGATCGTTCGCGCTCTTAATTTAACGCAAACGCATTTTGCTTTCAAAATAGCAATATCAACAACTATATGAAAACTCGTTTTATTATTTTTGTTAAGTTTTTTTGTGTAGTTAGCCTTTCGTTTAGCGTTTAGCCTAATGCGATGTTAACCCAACCCTACCCGTCTGCGCATTTACATAGCATATCAGACGAAATATGTGGTCATTTTCTATTCAATTTAACCATTTAGGGCGTTATATTTAAGCAGTATATTGTTATTAATATTAAACTAAAATTAAATTAAAACATAAAGAAAAACAAAAAGGTAGGTTAAAAAATTGGTTGCGGATTGCAATAAAGCTCAAATAACTGCCTGGAAATGAACGGCAAGAGGACAAAACAAATTAAATTTGCTTTGTGTTGGGCGACAAGGGGAAAATTACAGGAGAAAAGTGAGGTACAGGGTCTATCTGATTTCATTCTCCTTCCGTTCTGGTCCGAATTAATTACACACTAGTTTTGTAGTGAAGTGCGTTTTGTGAAATTCGTTACGTGAACCCAAATAAATCCTAAAAGAGAACGCACAGAAATTAATTCTGTTTGTTACTGAATTCATATTAAAATGTATTAAACTTTATGAGTTATTTGATTTAGAATTTTAGGGCAACGTACGGATTTTTCAAGGTTTGGAATTCCGATTAAAAATAGAATGGATAAATCGAGAAAAGTGGCTCCTATAAAATGTTTAAATAAAAATAGAAACTATAAACTCAATGAACTTTTACCATTATTTTCGTGTTGATTTATTTTAATAAAACCAACATACTCAAATTCTATATTTGAATAAATTATTGATTATCACGGTTTACGATTATAGTATATTTTAACGTTTAAACTCGTTTTGTTGTTTATTTTAGGCTTTATTTGTTAAATAAGCACTAATATAAATTTACATTGAAGCGTTACAAGCGTTTATTTTAAACGGTTTATTGTGCAGGAATAATTATATTTCGCTCAGTTTGATAGTAATTCAATGTCAAGGTTCGGAAAAGCCATTAAGGCGCCATCTTGCACGGCACCAGGATTATTGTCGCTTTACTTGGGGAGGATGGCAAAAAAGCTTCGTGACCGCAAACCACCAAACTTTGAGTATAACATCGTTGCAGATGTCGTCCGAAATGAAGTTTTTAACAAGTTTTACTGCAAAATAACCACGTGTATCCAGCTACAAAACTTCAACCATATGTTTTAATTAAAGTTAAAAATATTTAACGTTTGAGATTATTATTAATCATTTATAATGTATTAAAAAAAATCAATTAAACTCTCATTAGACACTATATTAGAGGTCGAGGCAAACATGAAACTCGCAATGCTACAAATTGAAAAATAACTACCAGTTATTGTTGCCACGCAGTTGTATTGCTATGTGTACGTGTATGTGTTTATGTGTAATTACTCGTCCACTGAAATAACTTGCAGTTTATAAGGCGCCATGCCGGAAATAAGTTTTCAGAGAAAATTCAACGAACGCTGAGCACGTGAAATTCGTACCGGTAGCCGGGTTAGAGGACGCCTCTACTGCGAAATATTTGGCTGGCGTTAGCGTGCTAGTAGTATTAATGTGCAGCACATTGAAACTGCCAAAAGTTAACCTTAATGGATTGCTTTTAATGTTCCACGAAAATAATAAAGAGTATTGCAAAACTGAATTACCAACGAACGATGTTCGAAGAGTCAAACTTTCAAAATTAAACCTACACCAGCACAATTTAAATATTTGCAAATTTAATGAAAATTGTTCATAACATATCAATTTTCTATATTATTTTTAGTCTCTCCATTAAATATACCTATTAAATAAATTAATTAATGAATATTTAAAATTTAAAAAGCAATACGTTATTTTATATATAAAACGAACGATTTCATCATTAAGGAAAATAATTCAAAGTTATTCGATCATTGCGTTTACTTGGCACCGACTTTCATCAACTAGGGAATTCGATGTAATACCACGGTCGTAATCAAAGTTAGGAATGCTGATTTCGAAGGAGCTCCATCGACAACTCTACGTCTGTGGTTTTCTTTGATGGTTCGACCTGCCAAAGCAACCGCTATCACCACGCCCTTTCTATTCACTTTTTCATCTACGAAGTCTTAATAAAGCTCGAATTTGATCACTTTGTTCGAGGATAAAACGTTTTGATTGGCTTTTTCGATGACATTTATAAGAAGAGAATTTTAGATTAATGAATTAAATTAATAGCGCTCTTCATCAAACTCCAATTTTATTATTTGAAGCGGGATAAAGACTAAATATCTGAAAATAAAAAGGGTTGAGACAAAGGGGGAAAAGAGTGTATGAAACGGCCAACAGATGTCTGAATCGAAGGCAGTCGTCGGGAGAAAATGCAAACTTAGCACGGTTCGCCGGAAGTTTATTTAAGAATTATTCGTTCATTTCCTCCTCCGACATTTTTGCCGCCCTCTTTCGCAAAGACGGATTGAACAAAGACCGGTGGAAAACGCGCACTCGTCGGAATTATCTCTAATATTAGCTTCGAGTCTGAGCTTCTCAAGGACAGACGGCAAAAAACTAGAAAACGAACTGTGGAGAGTGAGAACTCATCTATCACTTCTTTCGCTTTCCGCTGCAATGCTGCAGTTAATCGAGCGATTTCATCGTAAATCTAAACACTTAATTCTAATAACGTTTGCTGTATTTTCTCTTCAAACTCCTTTTTGTATCTTTTTAAGGATTTTTTTTTAAATGATGTCTTATTTCTCAATTTAAAATATCCACCAAAGAGATTAATTCATCCTTTGAATTTCCAATTTAGATTCATTATTCATTCTCCCTCTGTGGCGTTATATTTTTTTTCTCTTAAGTAAATATTCCGTTATCATCGCTCAATTTTCGGGACGACAAAAAAGATCTCGTCCCCATGGTATATAAAGGTCGCACAACATAATTAAATCTTCCCCTGTTTTAATTACTAATTAAAAATTTAGATGCACCGCCTACTGAGGCGCCTACGACATTCTGTTTTGGAGAGAGGCGTCTCTTTGCGATATTGTTTTATCTTAGGTTTCTTGTGCTAAATAAAGAAAATTAAAACCGGAACAGAAGTGGGGCCAAAAAGAGTTGACAATTGTTCCGTTGAGATTAAGACGGGATTAAAGGAGGGGTTAGAAAAGGAAGAGACTTTCAGTCGGTGTTTACTTTGTATTTGTCCTAGCGTGAATTTATTGACAGATTTACAAAAGATTCGAAAATGTATTGTTCTTTCTGGTGAAAATCTTAAATCAAATAAAAGTAAAACTTAAAGCATTCACATTTTCTTGTTGTTCATGATCAAAACGTTCTTATCATCATAAAATTTTTTGTATAAGATCCTTATATACAGAGAAATTGCGAAACGTTTTGACGAAATTTGCATGGTTGAATCCCGGATTAATATATAAAATTATTTTTAACAAATATAACCAGAAAATTAATGATCATTTCTAAATACGTTACGGTGTATATAATGAAAAAAAATCACTTTTCCCTTTGCAAAGAGCTTTTCCAAGTTCTGTCAAAGGGATTCGTTGAAAGACCGGTTAAAGCCTCACCGGACTGGTAGGGATGTGTCATGAACTTGACCCGCTCGTGGTTAGTATTGCGTGCAGAATATCGACAACTGCTCCTACGGGATTGTCCGAGCTTTCCTAATAAATGTTAAAGCATTGTCGAAAGAATTACAATAGTCGTGCGACGAGTGAAAAGGGTCATTTTATTGGAACCCTCCCGATTAAACCACCCTTCACGTGGCCGTATTTTAAATGAACGAAAATAAAACCCGGTATTTATCGCCTTTCGGGTGCCCGAAAAACGTTTTGGACGCGAAACAATATTTGCGTTGGTAGCCGGTATTATGTTATATGGCTGGAGTTATTGAAAATTTACGATATCTGATTCCGCGTTTCTTGGTTTATTACGGTTGGGTTACTTTATTTGATTGTCTAACGATGTGAATTTCCAATTTAGTTTAGCGGAAATTAAATGCGATTAATTTTAAGATTTTAAAAAAATTTCATTATTTTCTCATTGCTGTGGAAGTAAGACGTTCACGAAATGGATATCTGACGTGAATATGACGAGACAATTACGGAGCGTTTTCAGTAAACGTCGTCGACGGACGAAAAGTGGATAGAAAAGTGCGCTAATAGAACTCCGGAGAGGAAAGGCGGACAGTGACAAAACGCCTGCAAGCCCGAAGCTTCACCCCTTACCAGCGAGCTTTTGTATTCCAACGGTGTTCGCGGCCTTTTACGTGAAGGACATTCAAATTGACAAACA